AGTTGATAAGAATCATTATAAAACTTTTCTATTCTGTTTTGTTTGGTTTAGGTTGACAATTGTTTTCTTAAAATGCGTGTGTATTTGTTTAATTTTCTTTACACCTACACACTTTTTTTAAATCGTCTTAGCTTGATTTTTRATAAGTGTTTCTAAATACATTTTCTTGCTTTTATCATGCTTTCAGTCCATGCACGCAGTGCTTTGTGACGTATGTAGGTTTTTGTAGGTTAGCATTTAAGGTGACTCCATATTCTTCGTTTGCAATAGACGTCATAGCCGCCATGTTGGAAGAATTTGACAAAAGATTTTTCAATGAGTTCTCTTGTTATATCTTCCAACATGGCGTACATCCCTTTTGTTATTGTGCTCTCTTGGGATTGATTGCAAACCAAGAATAGTTTTTGTAAACTGACGCAATATAAAAATTTTTGGACAACAGAAAACTTTTTATCTTTAAAAATCGATATTTCTTTAATATCTTGGTTTCTGTAGTCACGATTTTAATAAAAAGCTGTCAAAAGATAGGTAACAAAACAACTTTTTTATTACACAATCTAAAAAAGATTAACCACGGGAAACTCGAGATCTTAATATCTTAATGGCAAAAAGGGCCAGTTTTGTGGCAGACGTGTCGCTGCTATGGTAACTATTCACGAAAAATGATTCCTAAACTCATAGTCTTTAATATGGTTAGCGTGTCAGATATCAAGATATAGATCTGTATTTGCTATGAAAGAATTTCTATATCTATTACTATAAAACCCGAAACTATATGAAGCCACCTAAAGTGATGTGCTCGCCTTCAGTTTTTTCTTTCTTTCTTTCTTTCTTTTTTTAATTACAATATTTTCAGTTTCAGTTCAGAATTGGAAAACTAACGTGAATTGCTTTAAATGACATCCAGCTGCGAAAAACAGGCTTTTATACCTTTTTTAAATCTTAACACTTAGAAAAGTACGTTTGACAATAGCTTTTATTTACGTTTCCTTTGCTTTTAACGGAGCCTTTTTYAATCGGTTTTTGGTTAATCGAAATCGGTTGGAAAAGTAACACGAACGTACAGTCTTAAATGATATCCAGCCATGAATATACAGGCTTATACTGAAATCTATTCAACCCTTTAACAATAATAAAAGGTACTTAGGTAAAGGTTAGTATTTCTGAATTTGTGTTTGGTTTTTGAGATTTAGAAAATTAACTAGCATGAAATTGCATAAAGGTGATAATTTTGAAATCAAGTTAACACAGAGTAATTGAGTCTCGATATAATCRAGGAACACAGCGGTATTTTACGAAAACATACGAAAAAGGAGAAAGTTTCCATTTGATGTCAAAGCGGCCATGTTGGTGTACCAAAACAATACAATTTCTATCCTCGGGGAATTGAACTCTATTTTTATGCAAAAACTGTACAGAAAGTTTCTAATATTTGGTACGCCAATATGACTGCCTTCTCACGTGAGTGAAAGTGCTCTAATTACGAATAAAAAAATMTTTTTATTGTTTTAGGAATCCCTTAATCTCTTCACTCGAGTGCCAACACAGTCTTTGATTCGCGACACTGCTTTCGTCATCAAAGACATCATCAACAAAATGGGGTGGCGCAGAATCGGCCTGTTAACAACCGCYGACCAGGAAGGACTACAACTTGCAACAATATTCCAGAGTTTTTCATTGGATGAAAACTGGGAAACATTAGAAATCGCATGGATAAGTTTTGATACAAATTTAAATAGACTCTTTCAAGATATCGTCGACTTTAAACCTGATTTATTGGTGATCCACGGACAAGGGGGGAAAGTTGAAATATTCGATGCAGCAAAGTTTTTCACTTGTCCATTGCTCATGACTAGTTCTGTTTTTGATGGAATTTTGACGGAAAATACACCTTCTGGAGTTTTAAAGTTGAGCCTTCGAAAGGTAATTCCTGATGCTGATCATCATTTTAACGTACAAATGCTGTCAGAAAGTATGGCTCTTGTTCAGAATGCATTTAGTGATACAGTTCAGAAACTTTGTGAAAATGATATCGATCGCACAAACTGTGAAAATGCGCTCAACAAACGTCTGGTAAGAGAGCAAGTAAGCAGGTAAAGTAGAACAATTAACAGCATTAAGTCTTGGAATAYCTGTTTGCTGCCCTGCCACAGGTGGCCTAGGCCCTGGAAAAACGAGGAAACATGTTTGCCGCACGCATGCCTTTTCCCAATGTTTCCCAGTTTAGCCACATGMGAAACATTGCTGCGTGCAACAAATTTTGCTTCCAARACGCAARAATRTTTYTGCTGTGCGGCARAAACATTTCATGCTTCCAAGACGCATGGAAACAATGTTTCCCTACGTTTCCTCGTTCAACCACAAAAGTCAACACTTTAACACTTCATTACGCGCTCGCTCTATTKTCAGAGTGCGCATGYGCTAACCGATGTTGAGTAAACATGTTYCCCAAKGATTCCTGACAGTATTGCCACCTTTGKAAACACYTMAGAAARCATGTTTCTGGAARCAYGTTTCCTCGTTTAGCCAGGGCCTACGCATGCATCCCACATGGAAAGGAAAGAACATTGGAGCTTAGTCCTCAGTGATACGAGCGATATATCAGGTCTGCTGGTCATAGCAAGGGGTTAATCATTTAACCCTTAGGCTTTTGCCAAGCTTCCTGATCAGTCTGTAATTYCTTCCGGGATAGCGGTGTCGGGGTCGAAATCTCTAAGTCCATACATAGTTAATAAATTCCCCTCTATTAACTATGGTCCATACGACGGTTCAGCACTCGATGTCTAGAAGTATGGTCCTGGTTAGAAATTAATAACATAAGCATAAAATCTTGATTAACTTAAAGCTATTTTTAAGGTTTTTTTGAATTGCTATTTTGATGTTGCACGTCCCATCTTAAAGGGCTTTTTCACTCACGTGAGAAGGCAGCCATATACAATAGAAACTTTCTGCTCAGTATTTGCATAAAAATAGAGTTCAATTCCCGGATGACAGATAATAATGTATTGTTTTGGTATCCCATAATGGCCGCTGTCATGTCACGTGAAAACGCTCTATATACCAAACCTTGAATATGAACGCATTATATTCAAAGGGCAAAATATACAGGAAACTTAAATGTGCGTACCATGCAAAGCAGTAATACAAATCATACATTTATATGTCATTTTAGCTACATTTCCAACTATTCCAAAGCTGGATCTGTATTTTTTATTCCTGGTCCAAAGGATTTACCAGCTCAAGTCTTCGACATATGGAATTTGAGAACAGACTTACGAGGCCATAAATATTGGTTGGAAATTGGAATGTGGACTCCGGCTGGCATCGCTCTCGATTCTTTCGTAATCCAAAACGAAAAGAAGTTCACGCCATCGTTACATAATCCAAGACCAACACTTCGTGTTCCTGTGGTTGGCGTTCCGACATGGATGGAAGTTGGTGAACCTTATAATAACAAACCAGAAGGAGAATGCCTCAGTGGGAAACCTTGTTATTCTTATGAGAAAATTGGGAACTCAAACGAAGTTACAAGGATTAAACACTGTTGCGTAGGCGCAGTAATCGATCTTATAATTCTGCTCGAAAATGATCTTGAATTCAAGTCATATATTTATTTTGCTCCTGATAAAAAATGGGGAATTTACAACGAAACTTCAAAAAATTGGAATGGGTTGATGGAGCAGTTGACGACTGGGAAAGGAGATGTGACAGCTTTGCTTGGAATAGATAAAGCGAGGTATCAAAGTGTTGGATTCACTCAACCSTACATGAATCTGGGAATGAATATCTTGGTGAGAAAAACGGACATACCATATTTCTGGGGTAAGTGTTGAAATGAAATCAAACTCTGCATGAAACGACCTCGGAGATGAACTAAAGCTACACGCCCTCACAGATTGAACCCTGAAGCAATGCAACCACTGGGCTGATCTAAGTCATAGCATTGATAAGTCACAGATTGAATTGCGCTGAATTTAGCTTGTTAGGTTTTGCGGAGCGAGGAAAACCAGAGAACCTTTTTGATAAAAAAAATCCTCTAACAAGAAACATAACAAATAATTCTATACTCACATGTGATTCTGAGTCCAGGAATCGAGCCGTAGACCCCAGGCGCGAGATTTAAAAACATTCATTAAAAACTGACTTTTGCGTCTTTTCTTTTAGCAATGAATTGGAAGTTTCTGGAACCTTTCAARATTGAGTTATGGCTTACAATCACATGCGTCAGTAATATCTTTCTTCTAGTAATCTGGGGACTTGACAGACTGAGTCCTCATGGTCATCGACGAAGAATCTCGTTGTTACAAGAGGAGGATTCGCCAACAAAGGACAATGGGTTTAGTTTACTCGGTAAGAACTGAACCGGTGTTTCCAAGGTCAAAAGAAAACTGGGCACGACGTAGCTGCGCAAAGCGTTGTGGGGCTAAATGAGTTTGATAAGAGGATCCTGAAGGGGAAAAATGGGAGATTCACCTTTTTGTGGTTTGAAAATTAGAATTTTATGCCCTGGGAATGGGATTCTTACCAAAAAAAAAAAAAAAAAAAAGGGAAAGGGAATGAGATTGAGATTGAGATTTGAACAAAGATAGGCTGGAACTATGGGATCGGTCAAAATGGGCGCTGGGAAACTTTGGATTAGGACACCCCTTCAGGATCCWGGGATAACGTCTCTAGATTCAGTCCAATGATTCTACGCAGTACGAAGTCGTTATCAGTTTAGCTTAATTTATAAAAGAGCTAGAACTTTCCAAAACGGGCTCTTGTTTTTAAGCATCGCTTAATAATTTCAGACCTTGCGTCCTTTGCTGATGATTATGATCACAAGGGAAACAGGCTCTGGACTTACTGTTCTTTTTTTTATTGACTCGAAGTTGTATACGTATCTTTTTTAAATTCCGATATAATCAAGCGAAGCCACTGAAATAAAACCTATATGCCTCAATAGATCAGTACCTAAAACGTAAAGCTAATTAAGTCAGTTTTTGGATATTCTTACTCAACTTAATATCTTACTGCGGCTTTCCATATTCAGCCAACTCGGTAGTTACAAGCTGCACGCCGAAATTTTGGTTTTTCGCTGCCGTCAATCAAAAAWAATCAGTCAGTACCTTTTATTTACTGGCGGAAGTCAAAAACCAATTTCACAACATCCCGTTGAAATGTCGGAGGTCGCACAATATCGGAAACCGAAGTAACCACGATTTGTTTCTTTGTGTTTCAAGATTCCATGAGTTATGTCTGGGGCGTGGCGTTCAGCAAAGACATCGGAGCAGAAAACACACCTCGAAGTCCCAGTGCACGTTTCGTCTCGATCTTCTTTGGTTTTATGGCGCTTATTCTTGTCAATACATACTGTGCTAATCTRACTGCAGTCTTAATGCAAGATAAATTTTCGTCGCCAATCAATGGGATTCGAGATAAGAAGGTACGTGTGACCATAGGGAGCCCATTGCAAGTTTTTTTGGGGAGCTGGGAAGTGCTGCAAAAGACAGTGAAACTGCAAAGGGTTGATAGCTGTGGATATTGAAGACAAAAGCGCGCAAACAAATACATAGTACTGTGTGAAGAGAGTAATGATGAAAAGGTAAATTATACACCGTGAAAAGATGAAAAAACTTACTGACGTTTCGGACGCTAGTCCTTCGTCTTTTACTCCGACGAAGGACTAGCGTCCGAAACCGTCAGTAAGTTTTTTCATCTTTTCACGTTGTATAATTTACCTTTTCATCATTACTGTTTCATTAGAAACACCAACGCAGCTCACACTAGTTTTTAGCTAGTTATATCTTTTTGTGTGAAGAGAGGATGATTTTTTTCCTCGATTTTCTAAAAACACGGAGATTGTGTTGAGTTATTCACTTTGATGTTTGTAGTCGACAAACCATTTGCATTTAAAATCCCCTAGATTATATGGTTAGATGTAYGACCGATCGACCATCTCAATTGGCTCCGAAAACGTTTTTGAAACAGGAACATATACCTCTTAGACTTTTCAACAATTTTTAAAAATACTGATATATGACCTTGGCCTTCCCTGCGACGCTCCACCGCCCCCCTCCCCTCCCCCCTGCCCCCCAAAAACGTCGTATGTGCCTTTCCTTTAGTATTTCATTCTTTGTCTTGGTATTAGTCATTCCAAGGCCGAGGAAACAATGGGTCGAGTTGGGACTGCAGTGCATTGTGGGGAYGTTTTAGATTACATATATTTTCAAGATGGCGTTAGTCCAGAGCTGGACCCACTTTTATCGATTTGCGCGCGGCGGAGACGAACCGAGTAGTGAAAATAGACTGGTAAGAATTGTAACGATAACAGTTTTCTTTGTATTTCTTTGCGCGCGCGGTATTTCCTTTTATTTTCGAGATAATAAATTAAGCAGATGGTGAGAAAAGTGGGTCCAATTCTGAAAAGATGGCGTCTTTTTCTTCCCCTAAAATAGCCCCAAAATGCACTGCAATGCACACTTAACCCATTTTTTTTCTAAACCTCGGAATGGTAATAGAGGTTGATACCAAGAAAACGAATAAAATATTAATGAGAATATTTTTCCTTCAACCCCGGCTAATTAATATTTACCCACCGCCGGTTTGCTTCCCAGCTTGTCGACCCTTTACTCTATCCTCCAGACGGTTTCCAGCTTGGAGTAGTGCGTGGTTCTCTCGAGGAATGGTACTTCAAGAATCACAAAGATACTCAGATCCAGCTACTATATAATGTCAACATTAAAATCAACCTCGTTGATGATTATGAAGGCGGATTTAGACAACTACAAGATAGGTAAGTCAACATACCATCGACTGTCTCTTGTTTTCTCACTGGACTCTGAAGATGACTTCCACTCAGATTGCCCTAACGTCAGTCACCACCAACAACAGTCTTTCTCAAGACTACACTCACCCGGACGATCACACTTCACAACAAACTTCAATATGGCGTGTTGTGGAGTACTCTTTTTCCTTCTCGTCTCGGGTGTTGTTTTCTCATTTCACGCCACGTGTCATTCCCTTGAGAATAAGATTCGTTGTTTGAGTTGTATCCATATTCATGTGTCTTCTCGTGCACAACCTTTAACCAAAGAAATAATACTCTAGCGAATGACACATGGTCTGAAATGCCAACACATTATTATTACGCTCAAGTTAAAGAAGGTTTTTCTCTATTATTATTTCAAGGAAACTCGATGGTTTGGTTGGTGACGAGATATCCCTCCAAGCACAGGCAAACTTAGCCAACTGTGACTACAACCTCATTGGAACAAAATTTTACGAGTTCGGCGTTGGTTTCGCATTCAAGAAGGACTCTCCCTGGCTACACAAAGCGACTCTGTCAGTCCTCAAGAACCAAGAGAACGGAACCATTGAGCATATCAAAAAACTTCGCTTTCCTTCAAAACCTTGTGAGAAACTTTCTTTCCGGAGGTTTAACATCGATGACTTCAGTGGTCTTTTCATTACCGTCCTGTTGGTGATAATGTTTGGGATACTCGCTCTTGTTGCAGAGCTCTTTATAATCTTTATCCTCATAAAGTACTGGGAGTTTCTTGGATGCTTTGGCAGGAAACTCAGGTATTTTATATTTGGTGTCAAAGAGAGTGATCGCCATTTGATCGATATTCAATGGATATCGGCATTTGGAAGAAGTTTTGGAAAAAGCTGGGATGTCAACATCAAAACGCCACAAGCAAGTCTTAACAATGGCCACATTATGTACCAAAACGGATTCTCTGCTAAGAACGGTATCAAGAACGATGGGTTTTTTATTTCGGATGACTTTAGTAACGGTTTATTTAGTGCTACGAGAGCTTCAGGCAGGAGTTTAACTTCTCTACATTCGTTTGAAATGCGTGAAGAGACTACACAACGAAGCAGCCATTCCTCAAGTCAATATAATCGACATAAGAAGAATAAGAATAAAAGCGTACGGATAGCGGAAGCGAACGATATTCGACAAGCGAACACMGATGGAATGGTATATTCAAATGGCACCGAATTGTAATAATAATAATAATAATAATAATAATAATAATAATAATAATAATAATAATAATAATAATAATAATAATAAATTATCGATGCTGAATAATTTTTAAGACGTACATCCAACTCGCTCATATTGTATTCACCAAAATGAATTGCTCTGTACCAATCATATTGCATGTAATATATATCTCAGTTTCTCAGTTTCRTAACCAATTAGAAGCGTTGTACATAAAATAAACCATATACGGCGATACACAGGCAGCCCAAGGAAAGTTGTTTTTATAGGAAAAAGCGAAAATCTTAAGAATAAAAGATACATAAACTCAACAAATCAGTTTACTAAGTTAATTCATTTTAATGACGATTTGTACGAATCTTCAGTTGATTCTCATCACAGAAAGTTGTTTAACGAAGATTTTAACTTCAACAATTTTAACTGGCCACTATTAATTAACCCGCGAATAGTTTYCTAGTTGAAACGGGGAAGGTTGGAGCAGAGGAGAAAGAAGCCCCATCTTCACCCCAATCCTCCCCGTCCCAATCCAGGAACGCCTACTAAATTTTAACGTGTCTAACTGCATTCTCGTTCCCAGATCCTCCTCCTCCTACTACAACCGAGCAGGATCTGGGAATGAGGATGGTCTAACTGACAATGTTATATACCATGAACAGCAATGCAAGTGCAAGTGGTTTAATCGGTGTTGAAGCCAAAGCTCCACTAGCRTACGGCTTATTAATGGTCGCAAATACTCTACATGGACCCCCGCTGCCATCAGTAATGAATTGAGGAGCAGCGTAGACTGTTGCACCTTTTGGAGGGAGTTTATCCAGGTTGGCAAGGTTCTCTAAAGCAGGGATGTTTTGAGCCAAAAGAATTTGGTGTGACTTGAAGTCTTTAGACTGACCGTAATCCACAGACGCCGTGTCTAGTCCAAAGAGTTTGATTTTCCTGTTCTTAACGAGCCATTGAGCGGCATCGGGGTGTAGTCCTAGAAAGTAATTTTGAAAAAAAAATTTCTATACTTATTTTAGGATCTAGCTCGAAAACTGGGCTCAGAGGATCGATGGGTAGCTATATATAGGTGGTTGGTGGGTAGCTTTATATAGGTGGGTGGGTGGGTAGCTATATATAGGTGGGTGGGTAGCTATATATAGGTGGGTGGATGGGTAGCTATATATAGGTGGGTGGATGGGTAGCTATATATAGGTGGATGGATGGGTAGCTATATATAGGTGGGTGGATGGGTAGCTATATATTGGTGGGTGGGTGGGTAGCTATATATAGATGGGTGGATGGGTAGCTATATATAGGTGGGTGGATGGGTAGCTATATATATAGGTAGGTGGGTTGGTGGACTTGAGGGGTCTAGATGGGGTAGGCTGCAAAATGGGGGGAATCAAGCTGAAGCACACTTTCACATGTAGCGCCGCATGTGATTGGATTATGGTGTTCCTCATATGGAACCAGGGGAGGGGAAGGGGGGGTAAGTTTGAGCCGTTTTGACTTTAATAAGACCACAGGGAGACCACTTTAGATAAAATTCAGAGGTGAAAAATAAGATTGAATCAGAGACGTACCGGGGAAGTGAAGGAGGCTTGTGTTAGTGCCATCTGTTCCAAGGTATTGCTTAGCGTCAGGCCAGTATCTTCCCCATCCAGTCAAGACAAGCAATATAACGTCATCAGGAATCGTCCCATGCTTCTTCTCCCAATTTGTAATATCATCGACCATCAAATGACTATCAGGATTTCCTATAGTTTTTGACGTGATGTCGATAACTACAGCATCGCCGATAAGCGTATTCAGAGGAATCTCATCCGTGGTCCATTTTCCTTGAGCGAAGTGAATTGGAGCATCCAAGTGAGTTCCACCATGCTCAGAGCTCGAGATATCATATGAAGTGTAATAAAACAGCTGTTGCCGACCTTGGAATACCAACGTGTGCTTAAAACGATTTCCACCAGGCCAATAAAGAGTGGTGTTGTCGAACTTGTACGTCATTTCTATCCATTTAGCCGGCATACAAGTGGAGATGACTAGCAGRCATAGAAACACGGACACCAAAAACACTCCTTTCATAGCTCGTAGCTGAAACAATTGAACAAGTAGGGGAACATCATCAATCAGCTGATAGAAGCGAAACTATCGCCTGATATTTCAAGTGGACAAAGGTTGCATGGGAATACCCATAGCTTTTTTTTTCCAGAAGGAAGTTCATGACAGAAGTCACTCGTGCCAGTCAC